AGTTTTCAATTTCTCTTTTCATTCAGATTTATGGAGAAAGTTCTTCCTGTGCTGGGAGAGCTCTCAGGAATATTTTTACTCTACAAGCGTCTGACCTGATTAAAGACAGGGTGTACCTTACTGGCATTTGCAGGTAACCTGAGATCATTTGTTTAATCAACTGGATGGGTTTTATTTGCATTTGTCTATGCCCTGATTTGACAAGAGAATAAGTTCTGAGAGTGAGATTTTTTTGTGTGTTACTAAGAATCGAAAATATTTTCTAAAAAAATTCTTCAAAATGTCATGTATTTTAATATCTTTTCTTACATTACTTTGTCAGTTGTCAGAAAGCAGCAGTGGCCTGATTGTATGTCCATTAATTTAATTGCTTATGATTTCATATACAGTTGTGTTTGTCTGTTATTTTGTTGAAAAGAAAGAGTATTAAATTCAGCCCTGGTCTGGAGTTATAAAAGAGATTAATTGGATTCCTAGGATTTAGTTACACTGTGATTTTTGCGTGTAATTTATGGAATATTTCTGTAATGAAGCCATTTTCCATTTGTGTTGCATTACAGCATAAATACTTCCTCCTATTTTCAATTATGCCAAAATGTGCAGGTCTCTATTATACCAGCATTCATTCATATCCGTATTTAAGAAAAAGCCACAACTTCTTTTTTTTTTAATGATTTAAAAAGATAAGTTTACCAATAATATGAAAGATGAAGTACATCCTAGAGCAACATTCAAGGTCTTACACATATATTGTGTAGCTGTATTGCTTATGCCTATGCTCAGAAAGGAAATAAAATCCTGAGGCTAAAAGCTGGATTTTATTTAGCTCTTATACATCTTTGGATGACTGTGTGTATGCAGCACAAATTGATAAAAATATTATATATGGTAAATTGTGCCACATGAATTAGGTGTGTAAGGGAACTTACCCATCTAACATGAGTTCCCTCGTTGTAACTAGGGGCATTCCCTGAGACTTGCCAGAGTAATTTCTTCCCTTGAAATGAATAGGATTACAAAAATAAGT